TTTCTTTCTTTCTTTCTTTCTTTCTTTCTTTCTTTCTTTCTTTCTTTCTTTCCTTCTTTCTGTTTATTTATTTATTTATTTTGAGACAGAGAGAGGGAGAATCCCAAGCAGGCTCTGCGCATGGAGCCTGATGTGGAGTTTGATCACAGAAACTGTGAGATCATAACCTGAGCCAAAATCGAGTCTGACGCTTCACTGACTGAGCCACCCAGGCGCCCCTCAACCATTTTTGTTTCTGATTATAAAAGTGATATCCAGGGGCAGCTTGGTGGCTCAGTCAGTTAAGTGTCTGACTCTTCATTGTGGCTCGGGTCATGATCTCACAGTTCATGGGTTTGAGCCCCGTGTTGGGCTCTGTGCTGATGGCACAGAGCCTGCTTGGAATTCTGTCTCTCCTTCTCTCTGCCCCTCCCCTGCTTGCGCTTCTCTCTCAAAAAAATAAATAAACTTAAAAAAAAAAAAGAAAGGAAGGAAGTGCTTTTCACTACAGAAGATCAATGTGGAAAACGGGAAAAGAAGAAAATAGAAATGAATCAACAGTTGTAATTCTTTGGCTCCGCCTACTCTCTTGGTTCCTGCTTTATTTTCCTCAAAATTTGTATCCACACTGGAAGCCAACTTGCTACTTTCTTTTCTTTTCTTTTTTTTTTTTTAACATTTATTTATTTTTGAGACAGAGAGAGACAGAGCATGAACGGGGGAGGGTCAGAGAGAGAGAGGGAGACACAGAATCTGAAACAGGCTCCAGGCTCTGAGCCGTCAGCACAGAGCCTGACGTGGGGCTCGAACTCATGGACCGCGAGATCATGACCTGAGCTGAAGTCGGCCGCTCAACCGACTGAGCCACCCAGGCGCCCCCCAACTTGCTAATTTCTTTCTGCACTTGCTTGCCTCTCTTCCCCAGGCTAGAGGGTAAGCTCCACAGGAGCAGGGACCTCACCACCTTCTACCTCTAAGTCAGTGCCTACCACAAAGGTGGTAGTCAATAAAGGTGAATTGACTGAAAACATAATCCTGCCACTGGATTAGTCACTCAGGTCTGCCTCAAATCCTTGAACCGATTTCCTGCAGCAGGGGGTTTCTAAAGTTCACCCCAAACAGCCCCTGGTGCTGAGAGGTGATTTTAAAGAGATCCAGAGAGGGGATCTGGATGGGGATCAGGCAAATTCCACCCCCTAGGGGATGGTATTTCATCCTGAGCTGGCTGTATACAGACAGTTCCCAGTGGGTGGAAATGCAGATGGGCAGGTGCCTCAGCCTGGGCAAAGCACATTTGTATTCGTTCTCTAGGGCTGTCATTAACCAAATACCACAAACTGAGTGGTCAACACAACAGAAATTTATTGCCTCACAGTTCTGGAGTCTAGATGTCCAAGATCAATGTGCTGGTAGGGCCATGCTCCCTCTGAAGGCTCTGGGGAAGGGTCTCACCTCTCTCTCAGCTTCTGGTAGTTCCTGGCTGCTGACATCATGCCTCCAGTCTTTACCCGGCTGCGTTCCTGTGTGCATGTGTATTTCATGTCCAGATTCCCACTCTCCCTTTTTATAAGGATCCCAGTCATTGCAGATCATGGCCCACCCCAATGATTGCCTTTTAATGTAATTACCTTTGTTAGTATGCTGTCTTCAAACAAGATCGCATTCTGGGGGCGCCTGGGTGGCTCTGTCCGCTGAGCATCCAGCTTGGGCTCAGGTCATGATCTCATGGGTTGGGACTTTGAGCCCCCGCATCGGGCTTTCTGCTGTCAGCACAGAGCCCACTTCGGATCCTCTGTCTCCCTCTCTCTCTGCCCCTCCCCCACTCACTCTCTTTCTCTCAAAAATAAACATTAAAAAAATCATATTCTGAGATACTGGGGGTTAGGGCTTCAGCATATCTCAACCAATAACAACATTCGACCCATAACAACATTCCAGGACACAGGAGGGGTGCTAGAGAAAAGCCCAAGCGGCACAGTGTTGGCTGCAGCATAGAGCCCATGAAGTGAGTCGTGTACAGTAACGCCAGAGCAGGAGTCGGAGACAAAGAATGCGAGGCTAGTTCCATATTGATTAGGTGGTCAGAGCACGTATTGATCAGAAATGTGCCAGGCCCTGTGAGATGGGAATCATTGGTGCGCTGAAAGTGAAAGATTCAGCCTCGAGGAGCTGACATTCATGTGAGGAATTCAGACACTGAGACGATTTGTCCCACAAATAAATGTGATCACACATCTAGATTAAATAGATTACAGCAGAGTTAGGTGGAGGAGGGAGAGGTACATAGGTCTCTGATAGTTTATAACAGTGGCCCTGGCCAAGTTACTGACAAAGTGATATGTTGACAATGATGTGAAGGCTGAGCAGGAGTTTACCAGGGAAAAGGTAAGAGGAATATTCCTGGCAAAGGGCAAGCTTGTGCAAAGGCCCTGGGGGCTGAAAGGAGCATGGCCCATTTGGGGGACATGGAGATGCCAGTGTGGCTAGAGATTAGACAGTAGGGGGGGTGTAGGCGGGCAGAACCTCCTAACCCAGTAAGGACCTAGGCCTCTATCCTGGGAATGAGAAGGATTTGAAAGTTTTAGGCAAGGGAGGATGGGACCAGATTTACCTCTCTGAAAGACCACTGGGCAACTACTGACGTTTTCTGAGCTAGAGGGTGTTAGCCATCAAGCTAGTATTTTTCCAGAGGTTCTTGCATGTTGTTCTAGAGCAGGGGTTTGCCTTGGGGTCCATGGATTCCCTAGTGCCCATGGGTATATTTCAGGCGGGCCCTGAACTGAACGAGGTCACTCATTTTTCATCAGCCTCTAACTAAAATGTCCTGTATGAATTCCTTACATTATGAATCAAGATAACAAAACATACTAATAATATCATAGTACCTGCAGTTTTTCCATCAGTAGAAATCAGAGATTCTCATGATATACTGCAATTATATTATAGTTGCTACAGTTGTTATGAAATATTTATGTTCATCAGTACTATGAAACCATACTTATTAGACATTAATGAGTTTATAAAGAATCACATATATGGCTAGATCTTAAATTATTTTAATGTTCTGATAACTGTATTCTCACATAGCTAGGTTCCTTTGTAATCCTTTGTATTTTATTTTATGCACTCAGAAACACAATCCTGAGCAGTGTCCCAGGTTTCCCCAGAACGACTAGGGGGCACAAGAAATACTGAGAACCCATGGTTTAACTTTAGTCTGTAACCACTCAGACCTAACTTATTTAGGCACAAACAAGACAAAAGAGAAATAAATGGCTCAGTAACAGAGAAGTCCATGGCACCATAAATTCACTGAGAATGTCCTCAGCAGTCCATTTCTCTCTGTCTCCGGACTTCTGCTCGCCTTTGGATCATCTCGTTCTCAGGCACCCTGCCCATCCTGCACCTGCCACGACCTGGCAGCGCTGGGCTTAAACCGCCCTTTGCACCAGAAGTCTGAAATTAAAGAGAAGGGCTATTTCCCAGGAGCTTTTGTGAAACTCTCAGAGATGGGGCTCATTGGCTGGCATGGGTCATGTGTCTAAGAAGCAATTAGAATAGTGAGGAAGATTGGCCTCACCTCTGATTGGCCTGTTTGGGTCATGTGCCCGTCCTGAAGGATGAAGTATTCTGATTGGCCTATCTGGGTCATGTGCGCATCTGAGGGCTGAGGCATCTCATTGGCTTACTTGGGTCATGTGCCCATCCTGAGCGATGAGGTATTCTGATTGGCCTACCTGCGTCATGTGGCCATCTTGGAATCAAGCGGTGGGCGGGTGGCCTGTCAGTACGTGACTGGAGGGAGAGCCCACAGGGCAGGTGAAGGCGCCCTGCCCGCTTTGCCCCAGGCAGTCGGTTATCAACGCGATTCGTGTCGCATCCCTGTGTAGGGGGAGCAGGGAACGGTTTGGCACTGCTCGCTGATCCGCGAGCGTCTCAGGCTGGCTTAGGCTCCACAGGGTCTCGGGGCTTAATGGCTCCCCGGTTCCTGCAGTGAAGCAGGCCTCCTGCCCAGGAAGACAGCCGCCAGTGCCCCTCCGGCACTTGCTGTGTGCTAAGCACACGTTAATTTTCACAACCCCTGTAACCCGCTCAACAACCCTGACAGGTTGAACTTAACAGTGCCCGTGAGGTGGAACCCCAGGCCCAGGGCTTCTCCCAGCTGCCAGGGGACCTTGGGGCAGGTCGGCCCTCCTCTGCGCCAGCGCTTCCGTCTGTAACGCCAGGGGCGGACTGACATGTTTGGGCCTAAGGGGTGGAACTGGCGGTGGCTTTAGGGAGGAGCGGTAACCGGTGGGGAGGTGAGGCCTCTGCCCTGGCGGCCTGGCCTGGAGCTTCTCTGCTTCTTTCCCCAGGGCTGCCGTGCCCCCAGGGGTCACCTGACTGCAGGAAGCAGTGTGAGCCTGACTACTACCTGAACAGGGACGGCCGCTGCACGGCCTGTGTGAGCTGTGCTCGAGGTAAGGGCTGTGTTCTCCCCTCCAGGGGCAACTTCTTGGGAGGGGGTCACCGGGGGTGGGGGGTGGCAGAGAAGGTAGGGAGCATCAAGATTTGCTGCCTGGACTCCGGGTTGGCCCCCTGGTGCCTCGGTTTACCCCTCTGGATTTGTGAGTTGTTATCAGCCATGATGTTTTGCATCCGTTTTCAGAGAGACTTAGCTAACCCGTTTCCTCAAGGGAGGGACTCGCATTTATTGAGTACAATCTTCACAAGACTCCTAGAAGATTTTGTTTTTCTTTTCATTTTAATTTTTTTTTAATGTTTATTTATATTTGAGAGAGAGAGAGAGAGAGAGTGCATGAGCAGGGGAGGGGCAGAGACAGACGAGACACAATTCGAAGCAGGCTCCAGGCTCCGAGGTGTCAGCATAGAGCCTGGACGTGGGGCTGGAACCCATGAACCCTGAGATCATGACCTGAGCCGAAGTTGGATGCTTAACCGACTGAGCCACCCAGGCGCGCCTGTTTTTCTTTTTTTAAGTGATCTGTCTGCCCAAGGTGGGGCTCAAACTCATGACCCTGAGATCAAGGGTCGCACGCTCTACAGACTGAGCCAGCCAGGCACCCCGAAGGTTCTTTTCTCTTCCCCGCTTTCCAGTGAGGAAACCCAGGCTTAGGGAGGTTAGGACCTTTGCAAAGTTACAGAAGTCCGGTAAGTGGCAGAACTGGAGTTTGAGCTGTGGTCTGACACCAGGAGCTGTGTTCTTTGCCTGCGACCACAAGTGCTTCCAGGAGATTCTTCCAATGAGCACTTTCATTGTTAATTTCTT